CTCTTTTTCGTGCTCCTCTGGGCGAACTGCGCCATCTCAGGAGCCTCAGCGTGGTCGTCCCGAGGGCCGAGGGGCTGGGAGAGGAGATCCAGGAAGAAAAAACCGGCACAAGCATACAGCATAAACTTTCGACGGTCCGCGCGGATTTCTCAGATTTGCGCTGGACCCCCATCTCCCTGGCGCCAGCGCAGATCCAAGAAATCCGCGCGGACCGTCGAAAGTTCATGTTCATGCCGTTTTCCTTTGCCATTCTAGGAGAGCGCCCTCGGCCTCGCAAGGGGGCTCTCCGCGCTGAGCGGGCTGCGAGCGCTGGAGGTGTCCCTGAGCTACCAGGAGCTCGGTCCCACGGCGGCCGCCGCGTTGGCAGAGGGCGTCGGCATCCTGCCCTCCCTGGGCCGGCTGGTGGCCCGCCTCCGCCGCTGCGGCCTCGGCAACGATGGGTGCGCGGCGTGGGCGGGCGCGTGCGGCAGGCTGGTGCGCCGGCTGGTGGCGCTGGAGCTGAGCTTCGGCTTCAATTGCATCGGGCCAGCCGGCGCAGCGGCCCTCTCGGAGGCGTTGTGCGGCGACGCGGCGGGGGGGCTGGAGGAGGTGCGGCTGGAGCTGGACATCAACGCGCTGGGCGCAACCGCGGCTGGCGGCCTGGTAGGCGCGCTGGTTTCTCTCGCTGGACTGCGCCGCCTGGAGCTTGACCTCGGCCACTGCGACCTCGGCGACGACGGCGTGCGCGCGGTGGCTGGCGCGCTGCTGCGGCGGCGGCCTTGCGGCGCGCTCGCGGGCCTGGCCGCGGTGAGCGTGGACTTGCGCGGCAACGGCGCTTCCGCGGCGGCTCGGTCGGAGGCGGCCAAGGCCGCGGATGCGCTGGCCGCGCAGGGCCACGAGTGCGCGGTGCGCCTGTGACGGGCCTGCGCGGTGCGCTTGCGGAGGGCGCTCCTCCCGAGAGGCTCCCCGCGCCAGGTGGCTGCGGCACTCGGGCGCCCGCGGCGGCGGCCTGCGAGGGCGTTCCCCCCCGCAGGATCTCCATGGGGCGCCCATAGCGCGTCCGCAGAACAAAATCATCCTCATCTTTCTCGCGGCTGGGCGTTGCGCTCGTTTCGCAGAGCATTCTCTGATTGCGCTTGCTGAATGCACTGCAGTGGTGTCGGCAAAAATCAGACCTGGGACGTGACTGCGGTCTCGTTCATCGTACCGCAGCTGGTCTGAGGGTGGATTGCCGTAAAGCGCAGCGTATTGTGTTCGACCTCTGAGCTTTCGAGAGGCGCCCTGTTTCGTCGTAAGCGTGCGGCATCCTGTGTTCGAGGCCTTGTGGAATGCAGCATTCAGCACATTGCGAGTCCGCCTTCGGCAGCATCGCACAAGCGTGCCAGAGGGGCAGTCTGCCAGGGCGTAGGTATGATGAGAGGGGGCAGGACGAGGAGGAGAAGGATGAGGAGGAGGAGGAGGAGGAGGAGGAGGAGGACCTGTGTGCACCCAAGATTCATCAACGATGTTGTGATACACCCTCCTCCCTCCGGGTTACCTCTTCATATCTCCCTACAAGAATTCATCTTCATTGAGGAAAATGCCCTGTTTGAAGACTTCGGTTTGAAAATCTTGAACCCCGCCAGAACTCTATCCCCGGAATTTGATCGCCGCGAGTCAACGTGACTATTGAGTCCTGACGATCCTGATTCGTGCCAGAACACGATTGCTGGGACTTCAGCACCGCGAATCAACGTAACTGTTTCGCCCTGACAGTCCTACATCGTGCCAAGGGACCATGTCTGCGACGTCAACCATGATAATCCTTGAAGCTGGTGAAAAGTCTTCAAACGAATTTGCGCGGCGCTACAGCGAGAGCCACATTTTGAAAACCAGCCGCATTCCGTCCGTGATACTCATTCATGTTTCAGGACGTATGCGCGCAGCGCTAAAAAGAGAGCCACATTCTGAACCCCGCCCGCCCTCCATACGTGAAGCTCATGCAGTGTTTTAAACCAATGCGCGCGGCGCTACTGCGAGAGCCACATTTTGAAAAGGTGCCGCCACCCATCTGTGAAATTCTTAACACACTTTAAAACGAATGCGCGCAGCGCTAAGGCGAGAGCCACATTCTCGAATGCGCGCGGCGCTACAGCGAGAGCCACATTTTGAAAGGGTACCGCCCTCCACGAATGTGCGCGGCTTAAGGCGAGAGCCACATTTTCAAAAAGACACGCCCTGCATCCGTGATGTTGTTGCAGCTTTTCAGCTAAAGGATCAGAAATGGTGAGGAAGTCTCAGGCGAAGCGCCCGACCCGCCCTACCGACACGCCTCGGGATGTGACTGGGAGGTATTACTTATAAGGACAAGGGATGGATGATGACGATGATGATGATGATGATGATGATGATGATGATGATGATGATGATGATGATGATGAATATGATGATGGTGGTGATGATGATGATGATGGTGGTGATAATGATTATGATGATGATGGTGATGGTGATGGTGATGGTGATGATGATGATGATGATGATGACGATGAGAGGAGGAGGAGGAGGAGGAGGAGGAGGAGGAGGAGGAGGAGGAGGAGGAGGAGAAGGAGGAGGAGGAGGAGGAGGACGCGTTGCCCGCGTTGTTGCCCGCATTGTCGGTCCATCCGGACTTGCGCGCGTGGCTGCATCCGACGGACCTCCACCGCAGCTCTCGCGTACCGTCGCTGCTGCCTCTGACCTCCGCCGCGGCGGCTGCCGCTCTCTGCTCTGCCTCGTTCCTCTTCGGCCACGCAGGCTTGCGCAGCGTCCTTCCACCAGATGGGCGAGGCAACAAAAAAGGGTCGTCTGCACGGACATTGGCGCGCAAGCTGCCCGCGGGAGATCGCGCGTAAGCCCCGCCGTTTCCAGGGTGGCGTGCCGCGCTGGTGGCCCGCGTCAGCCACCGCGCCAGGTCGCTGCGCCATCTCGCGTAAGACCCGTTCCTCTGCGTCGCTCAGACGATTCCTCTCCTCCCGGTCCGATCCCCCCGTGTCCTCCTGTTCCTCCTCCTGCTCCTCCCTCGCTCGCCTCGCCCCTCCCTGGCCGACGCAGGCTCGCGCCGTGTACCTTCACCAGCTGATCCGGGATCACGGGGACGGCACGATCCGGACGCTGAGGCTCCTCCTCCTGGCAGCTCCTCCTCCATAATGGCCAGCATGGGGCCTTCTTCTTCAGCTTCCATTCGGTCCGTTACCCAATGTAAAGTACACCCGTGCCCTCTCGTTCTCTCTCTCCTCTCTCTCTCTCTCTCTCTCTCTCTTTCTTTTGAGATATATATATATATATATACACACATTCATGTTCACGTCTCTCTCGCTCTCTACCTATCTCTCCCTCTCCCTTTCTCTGTCCTTCTCTCCCTCTCTCTCGCTTCTTTTCTGTTTACTTCTCTCCCTCTCTCTCCCTCTATCCCACTCTCTCTCTCTCTCTCCCTCTCTCTGTCGCTCCCTCTCTCTCTCTCTTTCACTCTCTCTATGCCCCCCCCCTCTCTCACTCTCTCTCTCTCTTGGGTGGCGATGCCCTGCCCCCTTTGGGCTTGAGGCCCCCCCCGGGTGGCCCTCTCTCTCGCGGACTCTCCCTCTCTCTCTCTATCGGGGGGCCCGCTTCACCCCCTTCGCTTGCCTCGCTGCCGACCGCTGCGCCGGCCAATGCTTTCGTGGCCCCCGCCCGGGGCCAGCCCGCCAGCTCGGGTCCACCAAGGGCCCGGAGCTCCTGTACCCAGAGATCCAACGCATTGAAAAAATCAAGACGGAGTTTTCTTTTTTGCTTTTGCAATTTTCGGCCTCTAGGGGCCCTCGCCGGGCCCCGGGACCGTCAAAAAACGATTCAGGATGAAAAGCTGGTCCTGGGGAATCGTTTGAGACTTCGGGGACCCCGTATTGAAAAAAACACGACATCGGATCTCTGTGTACCGCACCCCACGCCGATACCCAGCTTGCTTCCCTTGCCCCCGCGCGGGTCCAGGCAGAGCGAGCCGTCGGGCGCTCACCCGATAGGAGATTCCGTGCGGCACCCCGCCCCACGGGGACGGAGGCCCCGCGGGATCCTCGTCTAGCCTTACGTCGGGCATGTCCTTCTACAGGAGGAGCATTCAAGAGTGGCAGAAATATAGTCAGGGCACGATGTTGGGTGCTTTTTTGCGACTACTTCCGAGTATTATTTCACTACGGTTGAAAGAAACACATTTGCACCACCTGGGCGGCACGACAATTGATGATACGATTGAGAGCGGACGCGCACGCTGCAGTGGGATGTGTCTTCATTTTTGTCGAAGGACCCCCGGAGATGCCACAACTATCAACAGCGCCATCCGATTCGCAGCTCCACCCGCAACGGCGCAAGTGGTGCTCTCCCAGAGCCCGGCTGCAGGAAGACGTGCCCGAGACCTGAGAGCTTGGCCGTGCCGTTGGGTTCGGCCCCACCCGTGCGCCTCGGGCGCCGCGGGAGGCGCTGACGCCTCTCTCGCTCCGCTCCCCGCCGCCTCTTGCTTTGTTGCACCTGGCTCGACGCGGCCTCGGCGCGGACTCGACGCGTGGACCCGGCGCGGACCCTCGCCGCGGATCCGGCACGGAGCCGACGGGTCCGACGCGGGTCCGGCGCGGACTCGGCGCGGACAGGGCCGCGGCGGGACGGGCCACGTCCCCCGAGGGCGCAGCACAAGGCTTTAAGGCGGGCGTGTCCCTCTACAGGAGGAATATTCAAAGGTAGTCCAAAGATAGTCAGGGGACGATGTTTAAAACTATTTTTGGCCATGTTGGGGCATTTTTGGATTGTTGTGTTTATTTTTCCTTAAATCTCCCCCTGTAGGGGGAGAGGCCCGACTTATCACAAGGCCTCTTTTGCCCGCCGCCTCCTCCGCCGAGGCTCCACGCCACGCCCCCCCCCCCCCCCCGCCCCGTTCCTCGCGGCTGCGGGCGGCTGCGGGCAAGGCGGCGGGTCGAGCCACGCATCGGGCCACCAGGGCCCTGGCGCTGGCACCGTCGGGAGGAGACAGAGAACAGACACAGAGGATCGTCGGCCCCCAGGAAGACGCGGGAAAGATTGGAAGTTGAGGGGAAGCCGAACCTCCAGAGCAGATTTGCGAATGATGGACTGGCCCATTGGGTTTGTGGATCTATGTGTCTGTCTGTGTGTGTGTCCCTGGGCCCCTCAGCTTTGCCATTTTTCCCCAGCGGGCGTTTTCGCGCAGTTTGGGGCCCCGGGACCCTCACAGATCGATCCCGCTCGAAAAACTGCATCAGGAAGGTGGGGTCTGGGGCTCTGGTCGTGATTTTTCACGACGCTATAATTTTCGCTGGGGTTCACTAAAATCGGTGAAACGTAAGATTCGAGTAAGCCAGAGCTCGGGTTTGCCGACGTTCTTCGACGAGCATGTCCTGGATGTTTACGGTCCAGTGTTCGTGGGGTGTTTTCAGCGGGAGCTCGCGTCAAATTTCAGATTGGGTCTCGTCATTTTTCATGATGGCCCCGTCAGGCCAACCCGAGTCCCTGTACCCGAGTCTTACGTCTCCCCGATATATGCACACACGCATGAGTTTGTTGGAGATCTGCGCGGATTCCTCGGATGCGCAGGTCCAGGTGGACATCAGGATGCGGGGAAGGGGAATGGCCAAGGTCAGGGTGGGGAGCGTATCGGTTATAGGCGCACGCGCATCCAAAACGGCAGTTTTAAGTCAGGCTTGTCCCTCTACAGGAGGAGTATTCAAAAATAGTAAAAAATAGTTCGGATACGACTTTTGAAACATGTTTGAGCATTTGTAAATATTTTTGGTGGCTTTTCTATGTTTTGCCCCAAATCCGCCTGTAGGGGGACATGCCCGACCTAACGGTAGTTGCAACGGTGCACGCGAAGTTCTATGTGAAACACTGGTGGCGTCCAAAACCCGGATAGCGGCGCGACCCAAAGCGCAGGAAGCCCTTATGGGAGACGCGTTTCAGGATGCTGGAAAGCACGCCTGGAGAGCTTGCAGGTCGAGAGAACGTCTCTGCGAGACGCTTGTCAGGGCGCTGGAGAGGATGCCCGGGCAGCTTGCAAACTCGAGAAAGGAAGCTTCGCAGGAGCTTCGAAGGAGCTGGGAAGGACCTGCGGCAAGGCTTCAGGCACGCGTATTGGGACCGAGTAGGAAAACGCGTCTCGAGACACGCTGCAATCTTAAGCAACTCGCTGCGAGGATGCCTGCCCAGGAGCCTTGGAGAGGCGCTGGTGTAGCCCTGCCTGCTGGCTTCTAATCTGAAACTTTCTTAGCTCTCAGAAAGCTATCCTTGAACGTTGCGGCGATGAAAGTGAAATCCGAGGCGATGGCGCAGGGAAAGGCGACGGGAACGGCGACGGAAGCGAAGGCACACGTGCAGGCGAAGGCGAATGTGAAGTGACATACGCGAGGCACGGAGCAGATTAATGATTTAGCTTATCTTAATTCCCACACCTACTCGGTTAGCGAGTGCCAGCGGATAAGGCAGGAATGGGGGTATACACGCACGCAGATGCCTTTCCATGGCTCTTTCGGGTCGAGTCAACCGGCGTTCCCGTCATCACTTGTGCGCATCCCGATTCGAAGTCGATCCTAGCTTCCACATCCGAGTTTCTAGACGCGACTTCGTCGCTCGCCTATCCCGCCCGAGTGCTCTGGCACCGGTGGCACCCTGGCGGCTCGCGGGGTGGGCCCGTGGCTCGGGGCGAAGTTCGATCCCGAGTTCGCCTTTGGCCACGGCCGATCACGAGGAGACGTTTTCGAGGTCGGACTTGTGGACGAGAAATAACAGAGACCAAGGCTCTGGAAGTATTCTCGTCCAAGGGTCATGCTGTAAATGGCGCTCGTGGCGAGCGCTATTCCACGCCGCCAGCGATCCCTACTGCCACTGGTGGGCATTGGCATCTGGCAACAGTGTAGAAATTCCAGGGCCCCAGCGTCAAGCCGTCGGCAAGCGCGACGACGGGAAAACGAAATTCTCCCGGGGAGCTCGTCACCCCGAGCTACGCGTACCGCTTGCTCAACTCCAGCACCATCCTCCCAGAGCTTGGCGGGGCCAGAGCGACCTCAACGAGGTCTCCAAGGCGAAAGATGCCCGGGGGTCAAGAAACGCTCCAAGAGGTCGCAGTCCCGCAGAGCTCTAGCTCTAAGTCTGCGCCAGTTTTGCCCTGATTATTCAGGTGGTTTCGTCAACGGCCGGCCTGTCTACCCAGGCCTGGAGATGGACTGCGCGGCCACCCAGGAATCCGACCTCGATCGCCGTCTCGGGGGGAGGAGCGCAAACCGTTCCTCCGCGGGCGCCTGGCTGCTGCCAAGGGAGCGGTTCTGGGGGCGAGGGGTCCAGCACGGATGAGGAAGGGCAAGCGCGATTGGGCAAGCTGGACAGGGGGGAGCCCCCAACCCGCAAGGCCAGAGGGGGCACCTCGGGAGCAGAAAGCGCACCTATCGGTCGCTCAAAGCAGGCATCTCTGGATCCCCAGACCCCCATCTGCTGCAGGCGCCTTCCCACCTCGATTCACGAGCACGTCTCCCCCTCCCCTCGTCGTTGGGGGGGCGGGCGGAGGCCCCATCCACCAGGCGCTTCCCCACTTCGTGTCTCTGCCTCTCCTGCTTCCGACCGAGGGGCAAAAGGGGGCCCTCCGTGGGCCCCTGCGGACGCTGCGGATCTGCGCCATGGCCCGCTCGCCGCGCGGCAACAGCGACAAAAAAGAAACTGTCCTCCACGGCGTCGCCTTGGCCCGCTCTCCTCACGGGCAGGCCGCCTGGCCCCCCATCCCCCTGCGCAGCGCCCTCGACTCTCCGACTCGACTCGGGGGCTCTACCATTAAGTCGGGCCTGTCCCTCTACAGGGGGGAGATTCAAAAATAGTCAAAATATAGTCTGGGGACAATTTTTTGATTCTTTTCGGACTGTTTTGGGGTATTTGGAGTATCTTAAACTTTTCGCTCAAAATCCGCCTGTAGGGGGACACGCCCGACCTAACTCTACCAGCAAGTTAGTCAACGAGCATGTCGGCACGGTCAGGACGTCGCGTTCGATGTCACGTGGCGCTTCGACTCTGGCCTCCGGCGCACGGCCTTCGCGCGTTGTTCCACGCCTCCCGCACCGCCCACCCGCCTCGGGCACTGCGCCTTCTCCCCCCTGCA